ACCGTCAAACAATCAGTGTTGAACGAGCAGAAATCACCAACTCTACCAGAGCCGGCAATGCCCTGCCGCTTGTAGCGAATATGACCAGTGCGGCATTTGCCATCGATAAAGTATTGGCCATTTCCGCAAATTTTTCTTTCCAATTTGTTTTTCACAAGATTACAAATGAGAAATGCGTTCTCATGTAAATCTGCTTTTCTGCAAATATATATATATATATATAAATTAAATAGGTAGAAATTAGAAAAATCGTAACAGGAACTCGGCTAACTTGGTTTTTGGATCACAATATAGGGATTCTGATGTGGTTTCCTCCGTACATTTGTCGCCTTCCTGTGCAATTATACAGCTAGCGCAATCGTCTCCTATTCGACATTTTTCCTTGCCAATGACCTCTCCTTAAAAAAAGCAGATGATCAACACAAATAAGCTCCTGATAATTTAGGGTTGGGGTAATCTACATCCTGCAAAATAGTTTAATTATATATGATTAGTTATAATCATATGAAAATATTTATAAGTATCTGCAAGAACACTGAATTTTTTAAAGATAGATGGTTGGAGAAAATCGGGAACCAGTTTTCGTCTTTACAAATATTCTGTATTTTGCATATTTCCTGCATTTGCTCTACAGTTATATGTAATTTGATGGCGATGTTTCAACGTTTCGCATTCAGCACAAATTTACAAGGAAAAAATCTTCACTTTACCTTGAGGCATTATTTTGAGTAACATTTGGCAATGGATAGAACCATGTGAAAATTATAGTTTAGAGTGCCTTTCGTGAAGTGAAAATGCTTTTTAGAAATGGAGGGGTTATAAGGTGCAGCATTCGGAATTCAAACGAAGTTACTGCACTTAGTTTTGAGATATTTTTTTCCAGGATTGCTGAAAAGGTAAAATTGCAGATTCTATGACCCCTCTCTGCGAAGAAGAGGTTAAGCATTCCATGAGATATCTTTAAAGGTTGAATTAATTGAAGATACCTGCAAGCAGGATAGCCAAAGCGAAGAGTCGATACATCCGCCTAAGCACTATGTGCGGCTCTAATTGTTTGAATATGTAGACCGGCCGTCGAAGATGGTTGAATGAGTGGTGGGGAGAGTAAGCTGCTCTATGAGGTCCGGCCTGTGTGGGGTGGTAGAGGCGGACGCTTAAGGCGCTTGCTCGCGACTCTTTTAGGAGTGAGGACCGAGTCGGACTGAGTGCTGAGGGTGGAGAGCGACGACCGTATTTGTTCTTGTCCGAGAATCGCCCCCACCAGCACCAGCCCCACCGGCACGCCCTTTGCGTTGAGGTACTCACGTTCGAGGTTATATTCTAATACGGTGAAAAACCGTTAACGTGGTGTTCGCGGGGCGTAACTGGTTCAAAAACCTGAGGATCAATTCTTATATGACCTGCTGAGATCGCTTAGGCAAAGTGTCCTCAAAAGTTGAGTGAGCTTCTGTTGACATAGTAATATGTCGCCCGATGCTCTAAGTGATCAAACAAGTGACCG